TCCCATATGGGCGCTGGTTCTAGCCCCGGATGCTCCTCTTCCAGTCCCGCTCGCTGCTGTGGCCTGGGAAAGCAGTGGAGGATGGCCCAAGTGCTTGGGCCCCTGCACCCACGTGGGAGACCAGAAGGAAACACCTGGCTCCTGGCTGTGGATTGGCGTAGCTCCATCCGTTGCAGCCACTCGGGGAGTGAACCAATGGAAGGAAGACCTTTCTCTCTGTTTCTCTTTCACTGTCTGTAACTCTACCTGTCAAAAAAATAAATAAAAATAAAATCTATATGCTGAAATCATAGTTTAAAAAAATAAAAGTACTAACCAGAGCTCTGTTGTGTTGCTCTATTTTCCTACTTAATGTAAATTCAATTTACTATGCAATGTAAAATAGTAGCTGGGCTGGAGAGGAGAACTTCCATCTGACGGGAGTGTAATGCTCAAGTGTTCAGTGGGTGTTTGGTCTATAGGTTGATACCTAAGTCCTACACTGGAGGAGCTAGGTTTGAGTCCTGATTTTGGCTCTTACCTGCAGCTTCCTGATTGAGTTCCTGGTTGCTGGCTTTGGCATGGCCCAGCCCCAGCTATTGAGGGCATTTGAAGAAAGAACCAGTGGATGAGAGCTCTCTGCCTTGCAAATAAAGGTAAAGTGTTGTGCTTTGTGAAAACAGTTGTTTTATTAGGTAGCCAGTTTCTGGAAATGGGTACATAGCTTTCCATTTTTCTCTTTATTACCCTCAAAGTCATGTTGACATTCTAGGGAAATTCTATTTAGTGTCCATTCAAGATTCAGTATTATTTCCCAAGTTTAAAAAAAAAAATTCTGGATATTTTCGGTTCACCTAATAACTAGCTAAGATTTCCAGCTTCTGCAGAATTCCATTTGCAACATGCTAATGTAGCTGTTCCTGTCTTATGACAAATCATAATCACCTGTAACTATGGGATACAGTGATGCTATAACATGGAACGATCATATCAATCTAATTAACATATCAGTCACCTTATCACATTTTTCCCTTCTAAACTGTAACTTTCTACTTTTTGACCAACAAGTCCCATTCCATCATCCCTACCTTTTCCCACCTCCTGCTAAACACTATTTCACCCTCAACTTCTCTGTGACTAACTTTTTTAGATTCTACATTTGAGTGAGAACATGGTTCTTATCTTTCTGGCTTATTTAACAGTGCTTTTTTTTTTTTTTTTAAAGATTTATTTATTTATTTGAAAGGCAGAGTTACAGAGAGAGGGAGAGATCTTCCATTTGCTGGTTCACTCCTCAAATGGTCCCAACAGTGGAGGCTGAGACAGTCTGAAGCCAGGACCAGGAACCCCATCTTGGTCTTCTACATAGGCAGAAGGGGCCCTAACAACTTAGGACAACTTTTGCTGTTTCCTCAGGTGCTTTAGAGGGAGCGGTATTTAGAGTGGAGCAGCTGGGAGCTGAACAAATGCTGGCCCTTTAAGTTTATCCATGTTGTTGCAAATGACAGGTTTGCTCTTTAAAAAAAATATTCTCATCTACTTGGAAGCCAGGGGGGAGAAGGAGAGAGTGAGTGAGTCTTCCATCTGCTGGCTCATTTCCCAGTGTCTCCAACAACCAGGGCTGGGCCAGCCTGAAGCTAGCGGTCAGGAACTCCATCTGGGTCTCTTTCGTGGGTAGCAGGGACCAATCACTTGAGCCCTTGTCTGCTATCTTCCAGGATACATTGGCAGGAAACTGGATTGGAAGTGGAGTAGCTGGGACTCAAATGGGCACTCAGATATGGGATGCAGAGATCCCAAATGGTAGCTTAACCCACTGAGCCACAGTGCTTGCCTCTGGGAGTTTGTACTTTATAAACGCTGAATAATATTCCACCATATGTATCACATTTTCTTTATTTATTCACCCATTGATGGGTGCTTGGTTGATTCCCTACCTTGGCTGTGTGACTAGTGCTGTAGTGAACATGGGAGGTGCTGATGTCTCTGACAAACTGAGTTCTAGTCTTAGGATACCTACCCACAAAGCGGGATTGCTGGATCTCCCTCCCTTTTTTCAATGACTCCCTGTCTTCAAAGAATGCTCAGCCTCCCACTTGTACACAAGGATATCTGAGGCTTCTTTGATTCAGAGTGAACTTTCCTGCCACAATTAGGGGCAAACAAAAAAGCCCAAGCACACACACTCTGCAATTGAGGTCTACAGGGACCCGTTTTCAAACGTGGATTTTGATGGAGGAAGGTGAGAGGACAAATGGAGCCTACATGTAAGTGACTCGGGCAGGAGGCAGGGTGTGCAGAGAGGAGCAGGAACGCCAAGATTTCCTGCCTTTGCCAGTGCTGAGGGCTGGAGAGCCACAGGGAGGGGTCGGAGGGATCCTGTGTGTCAGCATCTGTTCCGTGCCTTGCAGTTTGGCAGCACTTTCTCAGAAGTGTCACCTTGCTTCCTTACTCTCACCCCCACACCTAGCAGCACCAGGACAGGGCAGGGATGCGCAAGGTGCGGCAGCAGCTGTACAGCCCTGGGATAAACTTCAACCCCACCTGGGGAGTCACAGTCATCGCTGCACAGTGTCAAACTAGGAGGACCTTGAAGGCCTGGACCCAGTCCCACAGGTTGGAGAGAGAGTCTGTTTCCCAGGTCTTCTCGCTAGTTTCTAAGATCTGAAAAGCTTCTTGTCTAGTGTTTCAAGGATCTTCACTTTCCACATGTACTTTCCTTTTCAAAACGTTATTTAGAGGCTGCTGTAGCACACTGCAAAAGACACTCAACATCCCATTCTCTCACCATATGCTTATTTCTCCCTCAGCATTAACAACTGCAACTTTTGTTCTCATTTCCCCCAGCTTCTTCTAAAATGATTCCACTTAAACGAGGCAAGTGGTTGTACTTGCTTCTTGAGGCCCCCAAGAGTGACATCATCATTTGATTGTGAGCTGAGTCCTGTGGGACATTTTACGGCCTCTCAGACATTTTGCTCAGTGTCCAGGGGGCAGAGAAGGTTGCATTCTCTGCAAAGTCCATCCACCCAAGCACCAACCCTCAGATACTTGTGTGTGGACACATTTATCCCCTTAACTCCTGTAGCTACTCTGGATAAGCCTTTCCCCTTTTGTAGTTTCTGAATAACTTTATAATTAACACTGAGTCACTGTTGCTATTTCTCATGATTTAACTACGCTATTAATAGAGAACCCAATAGATAGGTTGATCTCTTAAAACGTTTTCATTTAAGGATCAACACCGTTGTTAGGGCCCTAGAATCTCCACTTCTTGTACAGGCTTCTGCCTCCAGCACTGCCCTCGCAGGTCAGCAGAACCAGCTGTCCCCCCCTTACTAGAGCGCGGTCCCTCCTCTGACCACCTGAATTCCTTACTCTCCTTAGAACAGTCAAACCACACTGAACCAGTGACACTCTCTCAACTTCATCTGTGTTGTTTGGGAGCCATTCTGCATTGCTCAAATGTCCATCTGACCTGTGATACTTCTAAAGTACATGGCAGGCTGGGGCCAGCTTGTTTGTACTTTCTCCTGGAAAATCCCGAGTCATCATTTAGCTGCCTGGTGTTTCAACCTGGCTCATTCCTACAGCACTCATCCAGCGGACCCTGGTGTTCTACATGGGGTTGCTACACTTTTGTCTCCCCTGGTTCCAGCTTCAGGGATGGCTGCTACACAGTGTAGATATTCATGTTTTCTATTTGATCATTCATCAGACACCATTCTAAGCAAAGGGTCTTTAACTCTGTGTGACTGTTTTTAATCATCTCTCTGTTATCCTTTAACACTTCACATGGTATTATGGAAAATATAAATGGCTATCTTCCTTTCTTTCTCCCTAAAGGGTTTCAGTTGATAGGTCTTTACTCTTCCCTGTGAATATTGTGTGGTGCGTTAACAGGAACCAAGAAACCAGTGACTTTTTTTTTTTCTGTTGCTTTTAGAACTATAAGTAATCACATTTTATACACTGATTTGAGGGGCAGAGGCATAGAGATTTATATCTTCCATCTGACGGCTCATTTCTCAATTGTCCGCAATGGCCAGGAGACAGGAACTCAATCTAAGTCTCCCAAAATGGGGGGCAGAGACCCAACTACTCAAGCTATCACTGCTGCTTCTCATTAGTAGGAAGCTGAGTCTGCACCAAGAGCTGGGACTCAAACCCTGATATGGTTTGTGGGGATCCCAAGCAGTGTCTTAATGGTTGTGCCCAATGGACATTTATATCTTAGAGTCTTCACTGTCTTAGCGAAGTCAGAAGTGCTATAAAGAAGTCACTGAATTAAAATTCCTTAATTTTTTAGAAAAACTTCTTCCTGATACTGCAGCTAAAAGCAGACTGTTTTTACATGATACCATTCAAAAAAGGACATACACCTCAGGTTCTAAAACGTGACTAGAGACAACTGGTCCTTAGACTTTAAGATCACACTGAGGGGGGCTGCGGCTGTGGAGCAACGAGTTAAAATCCTCTCTGCTATTGCCTGGGAAAGCAGTAGAAGATGGCCCAAGTCCTTCGCCCCCTGCACTTCACTTGCCTGGGAGACCAGGAAGAAGCTCCTGGCTCCAGATCAGCTCAGCTCTGGCTGTTGCAGTCATTTGGGGAGTGAACCAGTGGATGGAAGACCTCTCTTACTCTCTATGACCAGGAAAGAGTAGGAAGAAAGAGAGATATTTGGCATTTACACATTTAGAAAAAAAAAAAAAAAACAACTATCAGCAGCCCAAACTTCCTGCTGATCAAGTGTCTATCCATTTAACTCTATGAAGTAGGTTATCTTCACTCTACACATGAAGTAACTAGGCAGAAAGGCCAAGTAATTCACTCAAGGTCTCATAACGAGCAGAAGAGCTGAGGTTCAAATAGAGGCAGTCTTACTAGCTACAGGTACCATGGTCTTTTCACAACATACTACATTCTACACTGGCAACAGACCAAGTTATTTTCTTGAAAAAAATCCCTACTTGAATGGTTATGATACACACAGTTCAGTTAAAAAATCACACGAATTACAATGTTGCTGGAACTTTTATTATCTCAGAAATAAGCATTCTATGTACTTTGAGATGGTTAAAATAGTTATTTCTGGATTTCTGTAACAACGTTTCTCAAAAATAGTGATCATTTCAATAATCACACAGATGTTCCTCTATTCACTAAAGACCCCCCCAAAATAACTCTTATCAAAAAACATACAAATGTTCCAAGAAAGCATACATGATGGTCTATATAAACAGAAGGAAAATTCTGCCGAAGGAAGCTAAGTTTTTTATTTTTAAACATATTTCATAAAGACAGACTAGTTTTTCTTTGCTTTTTAGTGCTTACTCTGAGAGGGAATGCAATAAACAGTTTCAGGAGAAAAACTGCTTTCATGATCTCACGTGTAAGCCACAGACAGACTTTTCTGATAAAGGCTTTAAAGTCTGATGAGATGTGAAAAGCAAGCTTCTATGCAATCTGACATTTCAATAAATATACAAAAAAAAAAAACCCTCAATAACTCTGAACATGTTGTTTCTATAGGTAACAGAAGCAACAAATCTCATGGTCTGTACTTTTGAGAACAGCTGTGTAAAGATACTTTGTTTTAGGAGATTCGGAAGTAAAACTCACATATACATAATTCCAGCAGGAAATCTCCACACGATACACATTTTTGGGCATCCCAATATTGTCCTGACAAGGAAGTCAGCCACGACCACACCTGCATTGTAAAGACAGCCCTGAGAAGCAACAGCAGGAGAATCCAACCCCTGTGCCAATGTTTCACCGAGGAACACAAAGGCACCCATCACTTGCTTCTTTTCAAATACTGAGACATCTCTCATTGGCTCATCAGTCACACAAGTGCAACGCTCAAGTATTCAAAACAAACTGCGGGTGACCCTTTACTTCTCCCTGGTTCCTGTACCAAACCTCTACATCGATTATGACATTGCTTGCAATGTTCTGCATTCTAAACAAACATGTAGGGAAATGTCACAAGAATGCTGATTTTTACTTAACCTTGCAAATGTAAAGATAGGTAAAATACTTAAATTCTTGTAATAGAATCTTACTTTCCACATTCACTAAAACATTTTAAAATTCAAACATGAGAATTGGAAATATGTGTGCTTATTTGGAAGAGAACTACTGAATTTATTCTCTAGAAGAAAAAGTGACTGGAAGCATGACATTACTGGAACATTTACACAGGCTGACATGTTATCTTCTGAACTTCAAAGAAAGCTGCTTGTACAAACTAGTTAATGAACACTTGCTCCTATTTAACAAGCAAGACATCTGATGTAGTGGAGAAGCCAGAGCCGAGTCACTTCACTTCTTTCTGTTGCTTCCAGTTGCTAGCATAGTTGCAACTCGCATAAATATATTTAACGTATCCATGTAGATTCCCAGCATGCTAGAAAGAAAATTATGCCATTATATAAAATGCAGTTCTAATAATTATGACCAACTACTTCTTACTATAGAATGGAAGGGACAGTGTAGCTTATCTGTTCTAGTTATATGAAGTGGAAATTTAGTAAAAATGTTTACTTTTCAGTTAAAGTCATAGACTAGAAAATAGGGCTTTATTTCTGCCAGACTAATCTTTTAAATGGTAAATGGCAATTTAAAAGATCATTATTCCATTCTCTGACACTCATGAGCATAGTACCTTGCAAAGAATAAAACACCAAAAAAACCACCAATTTGGGTGACAGACAAAACAAAACAAAACAAAACAAACATCTTTATAAAAACTTGTCAGACTGAAGGCTGGTATTTTAAAATACACCCATTTCACCCCCTAAAGAAAACTGTTAAGCTTTATAGCAACATTTACAAAAAAAATCATTACATCATTTTTTAGATAAAGAAAAACAAATCACTTAAAAACAAGTGATATACACTATGAAATCAAAAAAACTGTTTAAAAATAACCCACATTTTGGTAGAATCCAAGAAAAGAGAAAAAGTATTATAAATTACTTAATGCCAACTAAGGTTGACTATCTACAAAACAAAATCTTATAATAAAGAGTTCCCAATTTTTAGAAGTATAGAATACTTTTCTATGACAAAATTCTAGTAGTTACGTACATTTCCACTAAACAATATTTGACTAAAGAATATCTTTTTTCTGTTTAAAGACTAACAATAGCCTATCAAAAAATTTAACCAAGAGCACATTATTACATCATAAAGCTAATTAACAAAAAAGGTTAATATTCTGACTTGACCCAATGAGTATCTAAAAATTATAGTTAGTTACAACATCAGCACAATCAGGTTTCTGGGTATGTCTCCTTGAGTAAGAGGGAAAGAACAGATCAAAGATACGGTGAAGTAGCTGTGAAGATGACCTTATCTGGAAACAGCATGGTCTCTGCAGATGCAATCAAGATGTAAGTTAGGAAGAGGTTGCACTGGAGTAGGGTGGGCCCTTAATCCACTATGGTGGTCTTAAGAGACAGATACACAGGGAGAGTGGCAGGTGAAGACGATGGAGAGCAAAGTGCTGCAGCTACAAGCCAAGGGACCCCGAGGACGGCCAGCAGAACAGCAAGCCCAGAGACCGTGGAACAGATTCTCCTGCAGAACCTTCCGAAGGTACCAACCCTGCCAACACCTGGGTTTCAAACTCCTGGCCTCCAGAACTGAGACAGAATACATTTTCGTTACTTGAAACCACCCAGGTTTATGACACTTTGTTATATGGCAGCCTGAGGAAACTAACATACCCTTTAAGAGGCCAAACTCACATAAATGTCCTTATGTAACAAGGTTAACAAGACTGGTGATCACTTACGAATTGATGGGATCGTATTTCTGAATTCCATACATTGGTGCTATTTCTGCACGCTTGATTACTTTCTGGGTATCATACAGAAGGAACATACTGAAGAGAACTAATCCACCGTACACTGCCACTGAGTACAAAGTGGCACCAGCCACAGAGGTTGGTGGCAGGAACATAGATCCTGAAATCAAAACGAGAAAAATTGTAATACTGTAAAAATTTTTCCTATACTTGGATTTATAACTTATGTTATAAATTTAAAAAAATTTTTTTTGGTAAGCTGTGCAGGTAGGAAGACAGCTAAGTGTGTATACTGTTTCATCTTCTTTACATTAGTTCAAAACCTGTGCTATTCATTTCTTTACTCAGTCACTTCATCACTTTACAGGAAGGCTCTTGCATCAGAGCAATTTTTATGTTTCTAGATCAACTCTCCCATTTTAGATGTATCTGATAAAACCAGTAACAATGGCTGATCATACTGCCAAGATTTTTATATGATGCCAAATAATAAAATCCAGTCAAACTAGTGGGACTATGTATGTATATATAAATATAAATAAAAATAAGTATTTTCTCAATGATTTTTAGGACTGATTCAATGAAGGAGGATACCTGAGCATTTCAGGTTTTAGGACATGATGAATCCAGCACCAAGAACCCAGTGTCAGCAGAGTGGCTTACCCACAGAGGACGCAAAGACGAGACCCAGGCCTACTCCCAGCGGGGCTCCCATGTTCAGAAACTTCTCACTGGGTGCACACATGGCCACAGTGGAGAGGCCTCCCACAATGCCAGCTGTGTACCATGCAGCTCTGATGAGAAGAGGCCCCCCGAGAATTGTCAGAGGAGCCACTACTGCACCCATCACACCTATGCAAAGAGAGCAAGCACTGGTTAAGTATTTACTAAATAATAACTAAAGGGAAATTAAAGTGCCATGTTAGCATATCATGCCAATTGATAACCTTTCCCTTTGGATACTACCACCCCTAAAATTCTATAACCAAAATCTATGGGGCAGTCACAACTCACAAGTACAAACACTGATCTACATATTTAGCAACTTTGTCACATTCCACACAGCACACTATTTGGACTGGAGCCTATTGTGCGTCTATAATATTCATACAAGTAAGGACTGAGATAAAGAGATTTAAAATGCACAGAGTCAAACCTACTGGGAGAGAGTATACAATGGTAATCTTAAAATGTAGGAACTTCTAGCACAAACACAGTTGTTACTTTGTATAAGAAGGAGTGCTATTACAACATAAAAATTAATTCTGAGATATTTATAAATATCTTCATAAAAATTACAGTGAAAAGTGTCAATAATCAATTAACAAAAGTAAATGGAACTCTTTAAAAATAATCTTAGGTAAGGCATTATTTCAGTGCTGAGTAGAGTAAGTTGCCCATTTCTTGTTTATCACATTGTTTATCTCATAAACTAGGCACAGGAACTATCTTAATATTGAATTTTCATTACTAGTTTGCCACTTTTGCAAGAGTAACATTTCCAGATCAAGTAATATGGTATACTGTACCTCATAATAATAAATAGTTTAAATATACTTTGTGCTCTAAGAACTATATTTGGATAAAAATTTCTCTATGTGACATTTCTATTATCTTTCCTATTGATTTTATAATTGGCAGCAAAATTTTTGTGAAACTTCCCCTACTCTCAGATTTTTAAATTTTTCTAAAGATACCACAGAAAAATGAGTCTAAAGTGATCTGAAATCTCTGGACACAAAAGTAAACCTATGCATTTACTAAACTGTTAGAGGAGACAAGTCCAATACAGAGGCTGTCCATGGTCTTAGTAACATAGACAACTCTTCAGAGCAGAGTTTGGGCAATGATATAACCAGTATTATCTGCAGAAAATTGTAGTTTCTAAACCTGAGGTTTACTGAAATTACACACAAGAGACAGCTGTGAAGAGCCATCCAAAATAGTAGTATTCAAGGCAACAACTTGAACTAAACATACCAGAATGTAGCAGCCATGCAAGATGCTTTGGGCCTGGGCTCTGCTCATACGATATTGACTGTACCAGCATTCCAGCTCCAATCATGGCTGCAAAGGTTGCACCAATGGTCTGAAATACACATATTAAGAAAAACTGAACTTCACACAAAAACAGAAACCCAGAAGTTTCAAGAACAGTTAGTCCCTTCCAATAAACCAAATGTTAGACTCTTAGGCCACATTAAAGGTCTTGAGTGTATTTCAGCTTTGGCTAATTGAGCAAGAGTGCCCTCTACTGGCACAAATAAGATTTGTAGACTGCTTCAGGATAATGAATTGAGTCTGAACTGGCATTACCATCTTTTAACAATTTTATTGTTGTTGGACAGGACGTGATGGGAATTGTAGTGCAGATTAAGCCGCTGCTTGGGAGACCCAAATCTCATACTGGATTATGGGTTCAAGTCCCAGCTACTGTGCTTTCAATCCAGCTCTTTGCTAATGTGCTTGGAAAGCAGCAGATTATGGCCCAAGTAGTTGGGTCCCTGTCTTTCATGTGGGAGACCAGGAGAGAGTTCCTGGCTTCTGGCTTCTGGCTTCAGCCTGGCCCAGCCCTGGCTGTTGTGGTCATTTGGGGAGTGAATCAGTGGGTGCAAGATTTCTATCACTCTCTGCCTTTCAAACAAAATTAATAAAATCCTTTTTTTTTTTTTTTTAATTTATTTGAAAGGAGAGTGACAAGAGAGGCAGAGGCAGAGGCAGAGAGAGATCTTTCATCTGCTGGTTCACTCCCCAAATGGCTGCAACGGCCAGAGCTGGGCTGATCTGAAGCCAGGAGCCCGGAGCTTCTTCAGAGTCTCCCATGTAGGTGCAGGGGCCCAAGGACTTGGTCCATCTTCCACTGCTTTCCAGGCACATTAGTAGGGAGCCAAATTGGAAGTAGAGCAGCCAAGTCTTGAACTGGTGCCCATATGGGATGCCAGTAGTGCAGGTGGTGGCTTTATCCACTATGCCACAGCAGCAGCCCCATAAAATCTTAAAAAATACAGTTGGGCTCTATCCCACAGGTTATGAGGGGTGGGGGGGTGGGGGTGAAACAGAGGGGTGTGTTCAAGCGCGTGTGCGCATACACACACACACAATCCCAGGAATTACTCCTTAATTAAAATAAACATTTTGGTATAGTACAAGAGGCATTTCTTGAAAATCACTGGTGACCTTTTAAGTAGAATATATACAACACACTGCCTTAAAGTTCATATTTGCTACATGAAAACCTGCAAAACACACCCCTCAACTTGGCAATTAAGTACCTTTTCTAACTGTGTCTTTATCTTCATTTGCTCCAAAATAGAGACTTATTTGCTATCTGCTGCTAAATAACAAGGATGGTAAGCTTGATTTCCAACCTCTTGGTCCTACTAAAATAGATATTCAACAAGGATTAACAGCTGATGTTTCTGCATATGCATTTCCTTCTGTGTCCCAGCTGTACTTGTAACGCACGGATTATTCGAACAAAACCTTGTTCCATTTATTACTCTTTCCACTAAAAATCCCTTTCCCCAGTACTGACTTACCACCCAGGAGCCTTTCATCATGAAGTTCATGAGGACAGGAGTCCTGGTGACTGCCATGGCAGACAGAGCTGTTAGACCAATACTTCCTGCTAAGTACATGTAGGTAGAATGGATTCTATCTTTCACATACTGAGGCCAAATTCTGTAAGAAACACAACGAGGTTACCTTATGGAATTACAGATGTAAATTCCGTAGGATCATTTACTAGCTGGTTAATAAATCACTTTAATGCTTTACCATGGAAATATGCATACTTCGGAGTTACTATACTGATTAAATGACATAAAACATCTAAACACTTCACACTGTAAAAAGCAACACATTTTCCCCCTTGCTTAAACATGTATGAGGGTACTTAAAGTTTGTGGCGTCAAAGACAACATTTTGGTACAGAAAAAAGTTTAAATTTGTACAGTTTTTTCCTAATATATATTTTCCATGAACTGTTTCAAAGCCCCTCATATAGTGTGATGTTTACTTAGATTTGAATATATGCCAAGGAAGCAAGAAGATTTCTATTTTTATTCATGTATACACACATAGGAAAACTAGACACAGCATGTTCCAAAAGTGGCTGAAGAAAAGAATGAGAAGGACACTGGAGACTTTAAGGTTGGGACTGTTTGGGAACAGTTTACTTACACAGCTTTTTCAATAGCTCCAATCTCATTAGACATTCCCAAGCCATAGTAGCACAATGCTCCAAGACCAACAGCAGCCCCTCCAGCAACAAACCATCTTCCCATCTGATCAACTATACAACACAGGAGGAAATCCAAGTCAGCACGAGTCTTGATTACATCAGAGGGCTGGGGTAGCACCTTCACAGTATGTGTGAGGGGAGTATTTTTTCACACTAGCCACATGAGTACATGTGGGGATACAGAAAAGGGCTCACAGCCGACCAGGACAGAAGAATTCCATGAAATCAAAGTGTAATCAACAGTGTAAAAAGGAGAGGATCAGACTTGATGAACCTTCAGCCCGATTCCAACCATGTTGAGGAGGCAGTTTATCCACAGATGTGGAAATCTCTGTGATACACAGAGGTTGGGGTGTGTTCTTATGATATTCTTAGAAAAACGAGAGGGAAATGTTGGCATTCGTACCACACCACATCTAAACTGGCAGCAACAAAGATGAAGCTTTACACAGAGCCAAGAAAAAAGAGAACCAGATGTAATTAGTGTTTCAGCAACTAAGAGAGGGGGTACTTGTTTCAGAGTACTGATAACCAACTTGAAGTCAATCTCAATGGAGACATTGTATAATGTCTCCACAGTATAAACCTGATTACTAAGAATGCTAATACGTATCACTAATATGCTAATATGCATTACTACATAATTCACATGATTTGTTCTCTAGGGTCAACCTACCGATCAGAAATGTCCTGAGAGATACTGATTAGGGCTCTCCCCATTGCAATCTTGCAAAATGCCTGTAGTTTAAGGATCACTGGCATTCTTTTACTAGTTTTGGAAAGATGAACAATCTAGTTTCTGAACTTGAAAAGCTGAAATTCAAGTTGTGAACTAAACTGACTTCACTAAGATACTGCTCTTCTGACAGGCCACAAATGGGTCAGAGGACCCTTTCTGGACAGTTAGGCTTTTATTAATATCTATGTTTTGGTGACTTCACTTGAAACTTATACAAATAATATATGCTTGAATTAAGATTCTAGAACTTCAATTGGCCTTCCTTAATGGATCACATCTTCTACAAAATGACTTGTTAATAACCCTTCTTAAAAATGAAGGTAAAGCCGGCGCCGCGGCTCAATAGGCTAATCCTCCACCTTGCGGCGCCGGCACACCAGGTTCTAGTCCCGGTCGCTCCTCTTCCAGGCCAGCTCTCTGCTGTGACCCAGGAGGGCAGTGGAGGATGGCCCAAGTGCTTGGGCCCTGCACCCTATGGGAGACCAGGAGAAGCACCTGGCTCCTGCCATCGGATCAGTGCGATGTGCTGGCCACAGCGCGCTGGCCGCGGTGGCTATTGGAGGGTGAACCAACGGCAAAGGAAGACCTTTCTCTCTGTCTCTCTCTCACTGTCCACTCTGCCTGTAAAAAAAATAAAAAGGTAAAATTTTCATAATTAAAAAAAAAATTATTTGAAAGGTATAGAGAGAGCGAGGCAGTCAAAGATTTCCATCTGCTAGTTTACTTCTCAAATTTCCACAACAGTCAGGGCTGGGCCAGGCCAAAGCCAGGAGCCTGAAACTCAATTTGGATTTTTCGTGTGGATGTCAGGGACTCAAACTACTTAAGCCATCTACCTGCTGTTTCTCAGGATACACATTAGCAGGAAGCTGGAACCTGACAGTGCAGGCAGGACTCAAACCCAGGCACTCCACTATGTCCCAAGCAGTGTCTTACCCACTGAACCAAATGCCTGCTCCAAATGTAAAATTTCTACTGGAAAAAATATGACTGGAAACCATGGAACCCAAAGTACCAATCTTTTCTGGATCATCAGAACTCTAAGAATAATAAAGTGGCCCTTTTTTTTTTTTTCTAGAAAATGCATGTAAGAACAAGTTTGTCTATATTCTTAGGAGGATGATCACACACCTCTTAAAAATCTATCCAAGGACTCCAGCTTAAAAACTAAAGGCTACCACCTACTTTTAAATATTTTTTCCACTGATGGTTCCAAAGCTGCCTCTTTGAGGTCTTGGCCAGTTTTCCCACGTCGAGCCCCAATTCTTGTCTTGGTGGCATATTCCTGATATACAAACAATCACACATACCAAAACAGAGTGTTATTCATAAAACTAAACAAAACAGGATATCTCTTTACACTGAAAACAAACAAACAAAACCACACCTCTAAATAGGTACTTCCCATACAGGTAATTTCATTATGAAAGTTTGTTAGCCAGTATACAAAATTAAATGTAAACCTTATCTGTGCTCCATCTTTGAAGTGATTCACTAATTCATAGAAAACTAACTTCTTGGTTTAAATTTTTTAAATTTCAGCATATTTCTTTCATCAACTACAGACTCCACTTACATACCTAGAGTTATTAAAAACACTAGTCAAACATCAAGATGATAATATATTAACTTTTTTTTAAAAAATGGTCTTTAAAAATTTCATGGAAAATGTGCATTCTTAAAAAACTGCATGGATTTTTTTGTACCAAGAAAACTTAACTTTTAATTCCATTTCCCACAAACTTTTCAAAGTACCCTCATATCAGCTACATTTTGTAATCTGGGAAATGGGATCAAGAAAGGGGTCTCTCCTGAATGCACAGCCAAGGGGAAGGATGACTTTCAGCTCTATTTTGGCTCATTTTCTAAAGTGGAACAGTTCATTTAAGTGGGAAAAAGCTGTCTCCTTTTATTGTCTGTCTATTCCCCTTATTGCCTCACATTTCAAAACTCACATTCACTCTAATTTGAATGCTAGTGGAGACGAAGTAGGTTTCTTTCTGACCTGGCAGATTTTTTTTTTTTGGACAGGCAGAGTGGACAGTGAGAGAGAGAGAGACAGAGAGAAAGGTCTTCCTTTTGCCGTTGGTTCACCCTCCAATAGCCGCTGCGGCCGGCGCACCGTGCTGATCTGAAGGCAGGAGCCAGGTACTTCTCCTGGTCTCCCATGCAGGTGCAGGGCCCAAGGACTTGGGCCATCCTCCACTGCCCTCCCGGGCCACAGCAGAGAGCTGGCCTGGAAGAGGGGCAACTGGGACAGAATCCAGCACCCTGACTGAGACTAGAACCTGGTGTGCTGGCACCGCAGGCGGAGGATTAGCCTAGTGAGCCGCAGCGCCAGCCCTGACCTGGCAGATTTTATCATTCTCTAAACCAGAGCTGAAATGATATCTTTCATAACTTATTAATAAGCTATTAGTCAATGAGTAGCATCCTTAGGTTCTTAAGCTTTTGACCGTGGACCCTGCAATCTCTTTGTTGCAACACATAACTTTCAATCTCTTGTGGTTTAATCGAAATTTTCCAAATGAGACGTCTCATAAGCTGTAAGTAAAGGAAAAGTCCTAGAGGCCATTTCTCTTTTCCATATGTGATAAGGAGGGACTTCAATGATATGAAACTAATGAGGAAGAAAGAATCGATTAGGAACACTATCAAGGCTAATTGTTTCAGTAAATCACTAGATACAGCAAGCAAGCTTCACACTCCTACTCACCCCACCCCATAAACACAAAGAGAGAAAGGCAGCAACATAAAACACACAGGTAATTTTTACCCTGCTTGGTGTTATGAGCCACTGTTTCTTGGTGATGGAATTCTTCACAACGGGAGAAGCCTTGGTGAAAGCTGGGTGGAAAACCCTGGAAGGCAGTGTCCGCAGACACACAAGCCTTGCAGCCAGCATGGTGGTTCAGCACCAGGTTTACCAAGCAGATCTGAAATGCTGGTCAGAAAGACCAAAAAAAACCCAAAATCATTAACCAACTAACGAAAGGACACACAGGAGCTAAGGACGAGGATGAATCATCTTCTGTTAGAAGACAGAACAATGTGACCTTTTAAATTTTCAACGAAAAATCCTCTGCTTGCCCTTGGTAGTCCAAGAAACCTACCGCACAGAACCCAGTATAACCAGTAACAGAAGGCATGATTCTGCAAAATTACACGTTTTATACAATATGGATGTTAGCATCTTAACGGCTTACAGGGGCTGTCATGGCTCTTACATATGTACTTTTGGCTTAAGATGACACCAGCATTTAATTGGGGAAATTAAAAACAATCTGTGTAACTTTTAAGCAGAGGGTAAAATTTCATCCAAGGAAGAGCTCATATTGTACCAAGGACAAAAGACATCAACAGAAGCAAAACATAAATTTCAGCTAAACATACCAAATACAACTTCCCTTCGAAATAACATATAAAAATACTCAAACAACTTATTTTATATATGCCTTACTGCAATTATATAAAGGACATTCAGTTTTTCAAAGTAAACTCAGTTACTGACAGGGTTTTCTTTATGTGAGACCCTTTGGAAGTGTAACCAAAAGAAAAGCAAGTAAAATACTGGATTTTCTTTACCTCCAGGAGAGATAGTATCAGACAGATGGTCAACCACCCATCAGCTGAATGTCTCTCTGTAATGCCAAGGTGACTACAACAGATGAGAATGAGGGCAGGCAAAAGCCAACTTGAGCTACCCGCCTATCTCTACCAATGATTTGTAGTGAATGTTAGGCCAGTGAGATCAGTCGAAGTCTCATTTTCCCTATCTGTAATGTATGGTACTGAAATAGTGCTCAACCCACAATGCTGACCCGTGGATTACCCGCTTCGAAATGGCCCAAGATGTACCTTAAATGGCAGACTCCTGGCTCTTACTTTGCTGCTAACGATGGGTCTAGGAAAACCTGTTACAACTGGAACCTTCCCTCCCCCAAAGCTAACAACTCTTGCTTTCAAAATGCCTATCTGAGGGTCCTTCTGATCCCTGGAGTTCTTAGGTGTGCACAACACTGGGCACCTGTCCTTTGGGAAAATACCGAGTTCTCCAGGCAATTTCATGCCATTACGTCATCAGCCTGTCTCGCCCTTGGTCCACCGGCTAAACTCCAAAGAGTTCCAAGCTGGGGAACAGCTCAGAGTGGGAATCTGGCTCCCCCGCGCTGGGAGTCACCTTGTGCAGGTGTGATACCTCTGAGCCTCGGGTGCCTTCGCTATATAAGTTGGAGACAATACTGCCGACCCTTATGTAAGTGCTTCTAATTAGTATTGAGGCGGTCAGGCGCCTGGGCCCGGGAAACGTCTACGCAGCCCGCCAGACTCGGCGTGACAACCCAGCAGCACGTTCCCAACCTCCCAGCGTCAACACGCGACTCAACGACCCCCCCACCCCTGGCGCCCCTTTATCTGCCAGTGCGGCCCCGGCCATGGGCATGACTCAGCACCTCGCCGCCCAGGGAGAGGACAGCGAGGGCCAGCCCTGGCCCGCTCGTCCCGGATCCTGTGGACGCCACCCTCTCCCCCGGTTCCCGCGCAGGACGGCGACCCTGTCCGACCGTGACGCAGCCAGCAGCGCCGCCGCCTCCAACCCCACCCAGCGGCCCCGTCAGGCCAGCCTTCGGGATCAGCGGGAATCCTAGGAGCTCGCCTACCCCGGGCAGAGGTACCTCAGTTCCCGGTCACCTCCACCACGCAGTTCCCCTTCCGGGCCGGCGAAACGCGCACGCGCCCACCACCCCGGCCCCCCGCCCGCGCCTTACTGTCTCTGCGCGCGCAGTCCTTCAGGTTCACTGGGTGACGCAATATCCGGAGAGGCGGTAAATAGCACAACCAGCCAATCAGGAGCAGGCCTCTGACGGAAGGGTGGGCATAGCAGGGGCGGTGGGGTTCCTGGTTAGTTGGGTGGGGCCAATGGAGGATTGCTGGAAACGTCATAGTTAGCGTCCAGTTGGGCAAGGAAGCTGTTTTCGTCCATTTTAGCTCTGGGCAGAGTGACTCACATGAACTTTCTCTGCGACCTTTTCTTTGGCAGCGGATGCAAAAATTGTGTAAGAATTGAAAGAGGACAGTACTAGAATTGAAAGTTGTCCCGCTGCCCCATTATTGCCTTACCCCTTTTTTTGTGCCTTCATTTGTGAGAAAAAATGTGCTAAATGTGGCAATTTCTGATCGGAGCAATCCGCCTTCCTGGGTCCGACTCCAAAGGTTGGACAGTGAAATCTAGAACATTTATTATTTTTTTTCCCCATTGCCTTGTGACCTTGCCACGCATACTCTGGAGCGTCAGCCTGTGCCTATATAAAAGGCCTCATAAAACCGGCTCTGCGCTTTACCCAGGGTGGATTTGAGAACGATTAAGCTGTTCCTGGTGCGTGTAATTTATGCGAAAAGCCATTTTTGTTTTGGTTACGCTAGGGAGTTTTTTTGTTTGTTTTAACTCTCGCTCTGTTTCCCTTCAAAAAATATTTATTGGAGTCTCAGTTTTTACTAAGCACTGTGTTAGTGCTACATACAACTGAATAACACATGGTACCACTCCTGGTGAAAAAGAGCATATAGACAAAATATATGGTTAGTTGGTGATAAATACTGTGAAGAAAAAGCAGGTGTGCTATTTTAGATAAGGTGATTAAGAACGTGTAGAATTCAGGACCCTTTATCTCCTAAGCAATTGTTAATTGTGATTTATGATAATCTAACCGTGCAAATCTTGACAAACGGAGTGTTGCTTTCTTTGTGGATAAGAAAACAGTTTGGCAGCAACAGAGTTCTTATCTCCTTATTCTGAAAATGTCAGGAAAACACTAGAGAAATGTGTTAATGATATTGAACCCACCAAGCATGATCGATTTAATCTTACTTTAGATCTTCATACAATTTGATTAGCTAGCAAATGAGATCTCTGTTTAGCTCATTCAGTTATTTTCTTTTTTCCTAGAGCTTCTGTTATCAGCAGAGAAGGGATTTACAACAAACAAAGTACCTGAATAAACAAAACCTTGAAGTCATTGATCAAGATTTATATTAACGGAAGTTGTTCTCTTCATGTAGGAAGAAAAGTTTCTCATTTTGTGTTTGCCTTTCTCAGGTATGGGGCTTTTATTGTTTCCAGCCATATATATTGTTGTGTCACATCTTTTGAAGCAAGGGAGGAACCTGAACATGTCAACAGAAGACAGATTCCTGTGGCATTGGGGTGGGGTTCCATTGACTGAGAGGCCAAGTAGGAATTTATTGCAATTTTTCAAAAGGTGATAAAGACTGGACTTAAGATAATGAAGGGCCAGAGTGGAAGTTTATAACAGAGATACAGTGTTTACAGAGTTTGATGAATGATTGAATGTGGTTGACAAGGAAGCACCCCTTTTTGAATTTTAATTCAAATTAATTAAGAGAGAGGATACTGGAAGAGATAGGATATGGGGGAAGTAGCTAAGTAAAACTCAGTCTAAAGTGTTAAGTTGTAAGTTCTTGGCTCCAAAGGGTTTTGAGCAGAGGAGAGATGAAAGTAAAAGACTTCAGTCATGAATCCCAATGCTGTATATACATCATGATCTTTATTTCAGGTTGCTGACTGGTTCCTTAATTCTCCGTTTGCTGGCTAAGTGCGAAGTGCTGGGTTATAGTGGGGAAAAATCAGAGCCAAAAGAGAAAATATTTTAGTTAAAATAAATGCTCTTGAATTACGTTGTTAGACTTTTCCACTAGGAGATGTGGTGTGGATGAAAGGGAGTTTGTTGGGGGCTTTCTCCCCTACCCTCCTCCATGGGGTCTCCCTGCAAAGGAAAGATGCTCATTCCTGAAAAGCTGGGGGTGTTTCTGAATGTGGAGACAAAGCGGCACCTGCTTCTTGTGTATTTGCAGTAGCATGTGGGGCGGGATCAGGATCTTCTCTGACTTGTTTTCCAGCGATTATTAGTTTGCTTTGTCAAGGATTCCTAGAATCCCTGAGAGTTTGATAAACCCTAAATTGTAGCTTTGGGCATATGTTTGCTTTGTGTGCTTTGAGATGCTTCTCTGTAAAAAGGGTGACTCGGGAAGTATGCATGGGCACCAACTGATCACTCACTGGGCAACCTGTCAGAGACAGCATCTGGCTTGACTTGGGTGAGAGATCAAACTATGCCGGTCCCAAAAGTTAAGTCAAGTGAGCTGTGGGAGGGAAAGGAGAGGATGTGGAGAAGCAGATTTCCTCCTCTGGTTGCTGCTGAAGGTAGCACCTGTGTGCTGGTGGGTTCAGCAGGAGGTAGAGTAGAGGAGCGAGAATGAGTCCCACCCTTTCCCATCTGTTCAGCATAAATGTTTCTAATCCATGTGGGGCTCAGGAGAGGAGAAAGGGCTTTGAACTCCAGTGTGACTGATGGTGGTAACTCCTGAATCTGATTGACAAATTGTCAGGCTGTCCTGAGCTTGCCGGAGTGGAATAAACAGCCCCAATTGACTGAAACTTCAAAAGCAAAGCAGCATTGGTTCCCATTTAAGGAAAAACAGTTTGCTTTTGGAGCCACCCAACTGGCAATTTCTCAGTAGGTACTGCTCATGAATATGCAACCAAATACTGTAACTGGGGTCAAAGGGACAGTTTACCGAGGGGGTAGCATCTTTAGAGGACAGAGGTTGGAGGAATGTTGGAACAATTTCACCCTTTCTGGTCAGGTTACCAAGAGGAACTAAGACTCAGAAATGATAATAGTTTTTCTTAAGGAAATGTAGCGGGGACCAACATTATGGTACAGTGGGTTAAGCTGCTGTCGGAGTGCTGGTTCGAGAACTGCCTGCTCTAGCCAGCTGTCCTTGCTAATATGCCTGGGAAGGTAGTGGAAGCTGGCCCCAAGGATGTGGGTCCCTGCCATCTGTGTGAGACACCCAGATGGGGTTCTGGATCTTAGCTTTGGCCTGACCTGACCTGGCTGTTGCAGCTCTTTGGGGGAGTAGACCAGCATGTGGAGGATCTTTTTCTCTCTCTCTGTGTATTTTACTCTACCTTTCAAATCTTAAAAATATATAAGAAAAAACCAAGAGAAAGAAAACATAGCAAGGTAAATGGCAGATCCAGGTCTAGAGTGTATTCTCAGTGAACACAAAAACTGGTTTTTGAGGGGTGAAAACAGTATTTCTCTATATATGGAGCATAGATATGCATATGATACATATACCAGCATATCTGACATTGAAACTATATGGGGGAGGGCGATTGGGAGAAAACATCTAAAAAAAGGCTTCTTAGGGAAGCAGTCATGAAAAGAAGATTGGGAAACACTGGTCTAAAACATAGGACTCCTGTGACTCACGGTGCCCCTACTGATGGCTCAACAGAGAGGTTTTTTGTGTCTTTCTCTCAGGTTCTTTCCACTGAGCTGTTATTTGGGGTGATGTTTAGGATCTCTTGATAAAAATTCTGTAACTATGGATGTGGCTATTGACGTGGGCATGAAAAAGTACAGGACCTTGATGGTGGCCAAGGAGTGCGGTCAGAAGGATGCAGAGGAAGAGGAGGCAGTGCAGCTGGTTTTGGTGGAATTGTCAGGAATTACTTATCCAGGTTTTCTCCCAAAATGTGAAAATACATGCAAGAGGCCCGCGCCACGACTCAATAGGCTAATCCTCCGCCTTGTGGCGCCAGCACACTGGGTTCTAGTCTCGGTTGGGGCGCTGGATTCTGTCTCGGTTGCCCCTCTTCCAGGCCAGCTCTCTGCTGTGACCCGGGAAGGCAGTGGAGGATGGCCCAATTCCTTGGGCCCTGCACCTGCATGGGAGACCAGGAGAAGCACCTGGCTTCTGGCTTTGGATCAGCACGATGCACCGGCCGCAGTGTGCCGGCCACAGCGGCCATTGGAGGGTGAACCAATGGCAAAGGAAGACCTTTCTCTCTGTCTCTGTCTCTCTCCCCCTCTCCCTCTCTCTCTCCCTGTCCACCCTGCCTGTCAAAAAAAAAAAAAAAAAAGAAAAGAAAAGAAAATACATGCAAGATTTGCGAAATTCACGCTGAGAGACCCCTTCTGTTTGTGGATGGTTATGTCTTTGCTGGGGAGTTTGAAGCCACTTTAGGGACCTGTGTTATATTAGAAGAAAATGTTGAATATGGACATGAGGAAGGCAGTATTGAAACAGGGCTAAAATGTAAATGCCATGCAAGGAAGAAGCTCAGCTTGACCAGCTTTGTGGCAAAGCAGGTAAAGTGCCACCTGCAATGCTGGCATCCCATATGGGTGCTGGTTGTGTCTGGGCAGCTCCAGTTCTGGTCCAGCTCCCTGCTAATGGCCTGGGAAAAGCAGCATAAGATAGCCCAAGTGCTCAGGGCCCTGCCTTCCACGTGGGAGACCTGGAGGAGGCTCCTGGCTCCTGGCTTTGGTCAGGGCTTTTTTCTCTGGTTGTTGCAGCCGTCTGGGGAATGAACCAGTGGAATGAAGATCTCTCTCTATGTCTCTTCCTTTCTCTCTGTAGCTCTTTCAAATAAATAAATAAATTTAAAAAAAAAAAAAAGGAAGAAGAAGAAAACAAGGGTGGGTGGAATGAATGTAAATCAAGGATAATGACCCAAAATGACTTGCAGCTTTCTATATTAAAATGAAAATGAAGAAATAGCTCTAGTCTCAGATAAACCTTTTTTTTTTTAAAGCTGTGTTTATTTGAGAGAGAGAGAGAGAGGTAGAGGCAGAGGCACACACATACACAGATTTCTTCCAGCTGCTGGCTCACTCCAGATAGACACAACTGCCAGGGCTGCACCAGACTGTAACCGGGAGCCAGGACAGGAACTCTTATCTGGGTTTCCCATGTGGTTGGCAGGGACCTCAGTGCTTGGGCCATTTGCTGCTTTCCTAGGCACATTAGCAGTAAGCTGGATTGGAAACTAAGCAGCTGGGACTTGACCTGGTGCTCTGGTATGGGATGCAGGTGTTGTAAGTTGTGGTGGAATGAGAAGGCCATGCCAAGATGGCTGCTGACAAGCCAGCCTCAGTTACTCAGGAATGGCTTCGGAAATCCCCTGGGAAACCACCTGGGAAAGCACTTGGCAATGGAGCCTGCCTGGCAACAGGCTGTGATTGGTTAGGGCATAAACCACCCCTTGACCGGATTGGTTGCCTCGGCTATATAAGCTGCTGTACCAACTGAAATAAACGTGTCTGCGGGCTGCTCACCTCTGGCCCGCCTTCACCGGACTCCTGGGGTCTGTGTAGTGACTCTGTGCCTCTTGCCCCCACTGTGCTCCTCCTCTCAGAACGAATCCACAGCAACAGTAAGTGGTGACTTAACCTGCTGTACCACAAAATCTCCTCCACACCCTCTTACCCCTTGGAATTGGAAGAGCAAGAGATTCAAATGAAAGACAAGTTCAAAACTGATTTATGAATAGGAGAAACTACTGCACTTGGAAATAGAAGATCTGGAAATAGAGTCCTCCTATTGGTACCCCCTTTTCTGTTCTTATGGAAACTCAAGATACTGCCCCAGAAATCACTCCTAGATGGAATGTTTCTCATGATAACTGGTAATAAACTTCTATAGAGTTTTTTATGTGAAATAATTGGCTATGTAACTCTCTGTTCCCTACTTTATTGTTTTTCTTGGCTATCTACACGTTTCCAGTTATAACACAACTGAATACATCAGATTCATCCTGGTACAGACATGAATTAAATTTTTTTTTTTTTATTTTTTGACAGGCAGAGTGGACAGTGAGAGAGAGAGACAGAGAGAAAGGTCTTCCTTTTGCCGTTGGTTCACCCTCCAATGGCCGCCGCGGCCGGCGCGCTGCGGCCGGCGCACCGCGCTGATCCGATGGCAGGAGCCAGGAGCCAGGTGCTTTTCCTGGTCTCCCATGGGGTGCAGGGCCCAAGCACCTGGGCCATCCTCCACTGCACTCCCTGGCCACAGCAGAGAGCTGGCCTGGAAGAGGGGCAACCGGGACAGAATCCGGCGCCCCAACCGGGACTAGAACCCGGTGTGCCGGCGCCGCTAGGCGGAGGATTAGCCCAGTGAGCCGCGGCGCCGGCCCATGAATTAAATTTTTTAAAATATGGTTTAAATAAGATAAAAAATTCCATAGCTATATTTTTGTGTTCCAGTATCATATTTCTAACTACTTTGGAACATCTTCATCTAACATGTCTAAAACCAAATCCTAGCCAAAATTACTAAATGGATTAGCAGTGATTTCTTACTAGGAAATAAAAATCAAAAGATAGGAAATACAGCTGTGACTCAAATCAAGAACTGGAAAGTTAGGAAACAGTTATGGTCCTCATATTTGGATTTAATCATTAAGGTCAAGCTGATGTGGTTTGGACAGGGAGTCAGTGAGGAATAAAGAGCTAAGGACTGCCAGCACCCAAGCCATGTGCATCGTCCAAATCCCATCCTCTTCCATGTGAACTCAACATGGCTGAAGACTCACATACCCACTTCATATCATGCAGCTAAGCCTTACTTTCCATCATGCACCAGATGTCATGACACCTTCCTGGAGACCACAATGTGCGCTGTAGTCTCATCCCAAACCCTGCCTCCTTTGGATCTTTAATCAGGCCCTGCCCTGACTACCACACCTACCCCATAAAAAGAATGATCTCATTCTGGGTGGGACCAATTCTCTTTCTTAAGATTGCCTGCACTCACTTCTGAGTGTATACTATTTCTTTGCCTTTTAAAAAATCCTGCTTTCCTGCTAAGCTCTATCTACATCTCCCAGTTGTATTCTTCTTACACATGGGAAGACAAGAACCTGGACTAAGTTAAGCTGGGGGTCTCTTCAAGCCCAGCCAGGGCTCCCAGTTCCCACAATGTAATTTGGGGGCCCCTACCTCCACAACATAATTATAAACATTGTGGAATAAGGAATATATTTTAGATATTAGGCCTCACATAATTTGTTGGGGGGGGGGAATCTGAGAAAGTTAAGGTCAGAGATAAGCCACTAATTAGTTCTGGTGGTATCAAACATTATATCAGAGTTACGGGAAGCCAGGCTCTGTCAACTGATGGAGGACATCACAAAGAGGCCAATGCATAAGTCAGTGCCAGGCTGTGGCTCTGTGTGGCTGTTTCTTCTGTGAATTTGCAGTGCAGCAACTGGTAGTGGCCTGGAATCCAGGCTGGCAGTCAGGAAGGAGAGCTGAATATGGAATAAGAACAGGTGAGGATGAACTTGGAAGCCACAAGCACTGCCAAGTCTTTCCTCTGGGCTTTAATCTGTTGTGATCTTCAGAGTGTCATCTATTCTGCCTTGTTTCTGATCTAACTTCCTGCTAATGGCGCTCTGGGAGGCAGCAGATGATGGCTCAAGTGCTTGGATCCCTGCCATCCACAGGGATTCCTGGCCAAGCCATAGCTGTTGCAGGCATTTGGGGAGTGAACCAGTGGATGGAAGCTCTCTCTCTTGCTCCAACTCTAGCTCTATCATCTCAATCTCTGTGTCTCTCTATGCCATGCCGCCTGTTAAGTAGACAAAAATAAATAACGTTAAAGCTGAAGTAAGTATATTAACTTTAGACAGTAGACTGCAGAACAAGGAGAATTATCGGGAATATAAAGGGATGTCACATGATGATCAAAGGTTAAATCCTTCCTAGGCACAACAGTCTTATTACGTAGCAGAGGTTCCAAACACATGAACTGAAAACTGAAAGGTGAGATAGAGCAATCCACAATCATACTTGGCAACATCAGCTCTTCCTTCTCGGTCAATGACAGAACAAAGAGAGAATCAGGGAAGATATAGAAGACATAAATGACACAGAACAACAGTTTGGACTCATTGGTATTTATATGACTTTTCTCCTGAGAATAGCATTATACATTTTTCTCAAGTGCACATGGAAAATTCACATGGCAAACCATATTCTGGACCATAAAATACACTTGAGTGGAAATCATAGAAAGATCTTTGGTGTCCACATGGGATTAACTGAATAACTAATAACAAGAAGGTGTTCAGAAAATTTCCAAATACTTGAAAATTAAATAGCACACTCTTATGTAATCTTTGGATCAAAGAGGAATTCTCATGGAAATATAGGAAACATTTTAAACTGAAATTAAAAATACAACATACATATAAAATTTGTGTGATCCAGTTAAAGCAATACTTACAGATTTATTGCACTTAATGCTTATATTAGAAAAGAGGAATACTTTCAAATCTATATTCTAAACTTCTACCTTAAGAAATTAGAAAAAAGGGCCAGTGTTGTGGCATAGAAGGTAAAGCTGCCACCTGTGACACCGCCATATCATGGGGCACTTGTTCGAATCCTGGCTGCACCACTTCCAATCCAACTTCCTGCTAATGTGCCTAGGAAACAATGGAAGATGACCCAAGTGCTTGGGCTCTTATACTCACATGGGAGACCAGGAAGAAGCTCCTAGCTCCTGGCTTGTCCTGGCCAATTCTAGCTGTCGTGGCTATTTGGAGAATGAACCAGCAGATGAAAAATCTCTGTCTCTGTAACTCTGCCTTTCAAAAAATAAAATTAACTGAAACAAAATTAGAAAAAAAAAACAGTTAAACCCAAAGAAATCAGAAAGGAGGAATCTATGAAGAGAAGAAATTAATGACATTTCAGCCAGAAAATAATAGAGAAAATCACTGAAATCAAATGTGGATTTTTATAAAGATCAATAAAGTTGATAAACCACTTTCCAGAGTGCCATGGAAAAGAATAGACACAAGTGGTGAACATTAGGAGTAAAAGAAGATGTTGAAGACATGAAAAGTAGAAATACTACGAACAGCACCACTGTGCCCCCAAATTCAACTAATGGACTAATTCTTCAAAGTATGCAAATTCCAGAAGAAAGATAAAGAAAAAATATTTAAGCTGGATCATCCTATATCTGTAAGAGGAATTGAATCTTAGTGAAAACCAGTAAATGAATCTCTAAGGCCAATTGGTGACTTCTACCAAACATGTAAGGTGGAAAAAAGACAAATAAATATCTCTCAGTTCATTTTATGAGATTCTAATTACAACAAAAAGCAAAACCAGACAAGAAAAAATTATATCAACAGTTTTCATACAAAGCAAAATCAGTCAGTCATTACACGGAACCTGGGTCAGTACTTGTTATGTACATAGCCTCAAAAAGTCACAAAATATTAGGGAATCAAATCCAGGAAACAAATAATAGGGCTAATGCATGCTGATCAGATAAGATTTAACCTGAGAATGGAAAGATACTCAATAGTAAAAAAAATAAGCAATGTATTTTGTGATATTAACAGGTGGAAAAAATTCACCAGAAACATTTTACAAACTTCAACATCCACTCATTGTAAAGAATTTCAGAAAAACAGGAATAGAAGGGAAACTCCTTAACATAAAAAAAGACATCTACCAAAAGCCTAAAGGTACTATCATACTTAATGGTACAAATTTATTGTTTTCCCCTAACATTGGATAAACTGTATCGGTTTCTACTCTCCTTTTATTCAACATTGTGTGGGAGATTCAAGGCCAGTTAAATAACACATGAAAAAGAAAATGCATACTGATTTGATACAAAAAAGCTAAGCCATCTTTATTCACAAATAACATGATTATCTATTAAAACAATCCTAGAATTGTTAAGTGAATCTGACAAGGCTACAGGATACAGGGTCAATATATACAATATTGATCATATTTCTGCAATGAGCAACAAGAAATCAAAACTAAAAATAACAATATGATAACACAAAAATGCTTAAATGTGAATCTAACAGTAAGTTCAGGTTATGTATGTTGAAAACTACAAAACATTGGTAACATTCATTAAAATAAATACATTTGACATACCGTGTTCATGGGTTGGAAGATGAAATGTAGTAAATATGTTTAATCTCAGAGTGGGCTTTAAATATAGTACTCACACTCAAAAATGTCACTGGGAAATGTATAGATATTGACAGATTATTTCTAATATTTTATATATGGAAATTAAGTTATAATTCATGGTAAAATTTTTTTGAAGAAAATAAATTTTGAGTACTCATACCATCTGAGTTCAATGCCTTTCATAAAGTTTGAGTAATTAAGACCATGTTGAATTGGTCAAAGGATAGGTCAACAAAGCAATGAAGCAAAATTGTTTAAGACTAGACCTTTATAAGAATTGAGTTGTTGTTGCTGAAAGAAACATCAAGTCAGGGAAAACTAATCTAATCTGTAATTAAAACATGTATCTAGTCTGTTAAGGACAACTAGCTGCCCACTTTTGTGTTAAGACAGTGTCCACTGAATCAGTCTGCAAGTAGATGGCTGCCTAGTGCCCTGAGGAGTTGGTGTTGTGCTGGAGGGTCTGAATTTTTCCCTGCTGCTGGAAAACTCGCAGCTTGACAATAGCAGTCAGATGAGCTTTGGTAAGAATTACTTATTGTTGAGTGTGAAGACTTCCATTTCTGATTCCATGACCACTTATCCTGGGCCCATTGGGTAGAGAATTAGATCACTCAGAAAAGAGCTTAAACAATATCTGTAAGGTGCATGTACAGGGAAGAATTAACCCAGGAGGACTCAAAAGCTTAAATGTTGCACAGCCCTCATGCATGATTAATTGGGTCATGGCTGGCTTCTGGTAACAGTTATTTGTTTCCTATGGTATTGATAAATATTGGTAATGCTCAGGACCTTGAAGTATGCTGTAGCAGCTCATCTAGGTAGTTTATCCAAATAATGATTTACCTGATTTCCTCCTGGGGGTCTGGAATTTTGCTGAACAGCAGTCACTTGGACACAATATAATCATAAAAACCCTATAAAAGCCCATTCTTTGGCTCAAGTGACTTCCATATTGCTGCAATTTGTTGTTGAGGATTAAGTGCATCCTGTGTGACTCCACTGGGAGAAGACTCCTGGAAGCTCATACGCAGTATCCTCTAGACTCCACTTGATGAGGTTTTTTTTTTTTTTTAAATCCAGCTTTGTATTTTTCTTTCCCTGTAATAAACTGTACCTGTGAACATCTTGACTTCTGAGTCCTGTAAGTCCTTCTCATGAATCATCACATCTGTAATGCATCTAGAGGACCACTGACTTAATAATCCCACCAACCTGATTGTCAAGAGAGTCCTCTGCAGTACACACCCTTGGGTAGACATTTACACAGTACACAAATATGTCTGCATTCTGGACCCATTTTTATGAGTCCATCTAATACCTCTCTTTCAGATCACCTTGATGTCAATCTTCCTGTTTTTCCAAATCCTAACAGTTTGGCCAATCTGTTAGCTACTGTCCCTGCATCAGTAGAGATCTGTATTTCAGTTCATATTGCCTCTCATGCAAACTGAACTGTCACTCACTGGGCAAATTTCTTATTATCACTGCTGTCTTTGAAGGCCATCCTTAAGTAAGAGCTATAACAGGACAGCAGCTGCTTACTCCCATCATGCAGGCCCATCCAAGTGAGGCCCAGGATTTCTCTCCTTGGTTAACTGATCACAGGAAGTTCTATATAAATTGAGGAAAAGGTGGTGAAGCAATAACAACAGTGAGGCATTTGGTCATGCAGTTACTTGTGCCCTTAAAACCTGCTTGATCCTGTCACTTTAAGTACTAACTCCATTAATGAAAGAATAATGTGAGCATGTGTAGTCTTTCAACACAGAGGATAAGGCAACACCCAGTTTATGATCCTGAGTCCTGTATTAACTTGATGTTTTTTTTGCCCTGTACTCATGACATCTGTCACCTTGACAAATTGGGACCATATTTTTGCTCTATAAACTAGATGCCACAATTATCTCTCAACTCTTTTCTAGTTTAGACCCATACACTATTCCTTGTCACTACCAGTGTGTATTTCAGTAACTGTGATGGCATTGTGTGTCTGGAAAACAGGTGAGCCACATTCTCATCAACTGTGCAATTTTCAGAATTCTGTTTTGAGGGTCTGTCTCCTGGGTACCACTTGTATTAGCAGCCAATAGGAAACAGATGGTACATCAAAGAAAGCCTAATAAATGTGTGTCCTGGGATAGCAGAAACAACAAGGGATAGTAAAACACTCTGGAGTTAGCAGCAGCAGGAAGCTTTTACTACACTGGGCCTGGGATGACAAGGCAGGTGGGGGGTGGTGAGTGATGGATCCTGGCAGGAGTCACAGGTGTAGGATAAGGACCGCCAAGCAAGGACTATGACCACCCTTAAACGTGGTTTGGCAGGAAGGGAGACAAGGGCATAGATATGCCCAACATCCTACCCTCTGACCTCCTGCTCCTCCTTTCTGCTGAACCCAGGAGTTGGGACAACACCATCTCCCATAGCCTAGGGCAGGGTAGAAAAGTGTGGAGAGTGAGTCTGTAGTTTTTCATCTTTTATGGGTTGAATTTTGTCTCCCTTCTCCCACCATTCACATTGAAACCTTAACCCAAATGTGACTGTATTTGGCGATGGGGACTTTAAAGATTTAATTAAGATTCAGTGAGGTCATAAAGGCAGGCTCTGGTGTTCTCATCAGAACAGAAAGAGAAGCCAGAGATCCTGCGCTGTCTGCTGTGTGAGGACACAGTGAGAAGGTGGCCATCTACAGGCCAGTCAGAGAATCTTCACCCGAAACCAACTCTGGTTGACCCCTTGGTCTTGAACGTCCAGCCTCCAGAACCATGAGCAATAAACTCCTATTGTTTAGCCACCCAGCCTGTCGAATTTTGTTATAGCAGCCCGAGCAGATTAATGTGTCATTAGTAAGATGAAGATTATAATAATAATTATAATAATAATTAAATAAAGTGACATTCATGATAAACTTTATTTTACTTATTTTTAAGGATTTATTTATTTAAGAGGGAGAGAGAGAAAAGAAAGAAAATCTTCCATCTGGTGATTCACTCCCAAAATACCCAAAAGAACCAGGTCTGAGGCAGGCTGCAGCCAGTGACCAGGAACTCCATTGGGGTCTCCTGTGCTGGTGGCAGGGGCCCAAGCACTTGAGCTAGCTTCCACTGCTTTGCTAGATGCATTACCAGGGAGCAGGATCAGAAACAGAGCAGCTTGGACTCAAACTGGCACTACATTATGGGATGCCAGTTTTGCAAGAGGTGGCTTAAGCAGCTATGCCACAATGTTGGCCAGATAATCTTTTAAAGTAAATGTTGTTTTTATTTTTGGTGTTAACAGTTAAATAATGAGTCTCATTTATGATTTTTAGTTCCTCCCCCCACCCCTCTGCTTCAGTTATCCTTCTTGAAGTGAACCCTGTGAGCCTTTGTATTCTCTATACTCGATGTGGTTTAGGGTATCTTTCAATGTTCTGTTTGTAGTCTGTTTTTGTTAATGTCTCATTCCCCCACCCCATACCATGTCGTATTGGATTAATGTCTCGTTTTAGCGGTTTATACTTGTAATGTCTTCTTTACTGGTTTATAACAGATGTTCTGAGCTCATTACTCTGTAAATATAGATATTATTATTTTTTTCCTGAGTGAATTGCTCTGTCAGTCTCTGATGAGGCTCACCTGCCATGTATCAAACTGTTCTTGTCAAACAGCAGACCCAACACCGTTTTCATTTTTATCTTCTGTCTTTTACGTCCTGCTTTTCTCATCTTTTTAGGGCATAGATGCCCAAGGCTAGAAAGTGCTCATTGTAGATGTAAGTTTCAAGCATCAGGCATCAAACATGTTTTGAAAAACATAATAAAAATTCTTTCAGGTAGAGAAAATTTTTGTATTTTAGCATTTGACTTATTTAGATTGACTAGAATGGTGGGTGTGCCTGAAATAAGGCAGTCATATAGACATTTTGGTTTAGGGTGTGACCGAGCAGTCAGAAATGCAAAAGTATGGGAATTGTATGGATCTTTAAAAATGGGTAATAATGAGGGGCCGGTGCTGTGGTGCAGTGGGCTAAGCCTCCAGCTACGACACTGGCATCCCATATGGGCATGGGTTCTAGTCTCGGCTGTTCCTCTTCCGATCCAGCTCTCTGCCATGGCCTGGGAAAACAGTAGGAGTTGGCCCAAGTGCTTGGGCCCCTGCACCTCTGTGGGAGACCCAGAGGAAGCTCCTGGCTCCTGTCTTCGGATGGGCTCAGCTCTGAATGTTGTAGGCATTTGGGGAGTGAACCAGTGGATGGAAGACCTCTCTCTCTCTCTCTCTCTCTCTCTCCATTTCTCTGTAACTCTACCTTGCAAGAAGATAAATAATATCTTTTTAAAAAAATAGATAATAATGAAGAAAGAGTTTGTTAGCTATTAAGATGATATAATTTTAGCAATAATATGGAAAATAGGCTAAAACAATCGTAACTTCAGAGTACTGAGTTATGCTGTGGGCAGACATTGTATATTGGTCATTTTACTTTTATTGTGTTTCATACTCTTATAAGACAATCTCAAAGACTTGCCTTTCCCTGTAGAGCTCACTGCTACAAGTATTTAAGTAGTTTATTGGATTTAACTAAGGTTGGGGCCTTGTCAGGTGAGTGTCAGTGGGTGAAAAGGGTGAGCAAATTAAGAGTTTTCTAGGGAGGGGCTAGGTTGGGTCAGGGTAGAGGTGAGAAGGGTGAGAGAAAGTAGTAAAAAAAAAAGGTGCACTAATGGATTGGAGGTTTTTGAATTTGCATAATTGTAGAGCTGATGATTCCCATGAAATTAGATTATAGTAAAAAAAAAAAAAAAACGATGCTTGAAATTGAGATTCTGGGTGAAGTGTGCCAAGTGAGACCATGGGAAAGGTGACCAGATGTTGTAGACGGAAAGGCTTGAGAGGTCTCGTGTTGAATGGATCTTCCCATTGGGGCTGAAGCAGGAAATGCTAACATGAGCAGAGGTGGAAGGAAGGTAGGTATGGTAGGCACATTAATGGCTCCCTATAGATGTCTGTGTCACAAGCTCTGGAACCTGGGAATATGTTATTTTACCTAGGAAAAGAGACTCTGTGTGTGATTAAATTAAGGATATTTGCCTGGAGAGTTTATCCTGGATTATCTGGAAGATGAAGGGACATTTTAATCACCAGGGTCCTTATCAAAGTGAGGCAGTGGCCGGTGCTGCAGCTCAATAGGCTAATCCTCCACCTGTGGTGCCGGCACACCGGGTTCTAGTCCTGGTCGGGGCGCTGGATTCTGTCCCGGTTGCCCCTCTTCCAGGCCAGCTCTCTGCTGTGGCCAGGGAGTGCAGTGGAGGATGGCACAAGTGCTTGGGCCCTGCACCTGCATGGGAGACCAGGAGAAGCACCTGGCTCCTGCCTTAAGATCAGCGTGGTGCGCCAGCCACAGCACGCCAGCCACGGCGGCCATTGGAGGGTGAACCAATGGCAAAGGAAGACCTTTCTCTCTGTATCTCTCTCTCTCTCTCTCTCTTCTCTGCCTGTCAAAAAAAAAAAAGTGAGGCAGTAAGGGTAGACTCAGAGAAGGAGATGAGATAAGAGGAGGCAGGAGTCGGGGTGACATAGGATCTTAGGCCAAGGAATGTAGGCAGCCTCTGAAAGCCAGAAAAGACATGGAAATAATTCTCCTCTTCCAGAACAAAGCACCTTCAAGAGGAACACGGCCTGACTGAAGCCATTTGAGATTCCAGAGCTGTAAGAGAATACATTTATGTTGTTTTTAAACTAGTAAATCTGTGGTGACTTGATACAACAGTAACACAGCAGGTATTTGAGTTGTCAGGGAGAGTGACAGAAGCAGGGATAGGCTTGGTGGTAGATGGCACAACCAGGAAGGCAATGACTGATGCACATACTTTAAAAAATTATTTGTTTATTTGAAAGTAGAGTTAGAGAGAGAGAGTGAGAGCATGAGCTTACATCTTCTGGTTCACTCCCCAGACGGCTGCAAAGGCTAGAGCTGGGCTAGGCTGAAGCCAGGAGTCTCAAACTCCATCCAGGTCTCCTACTTGGGTGACAGAGTCCCAAGCACTAGGGCTACATTCTGCTGCTTTCCCAGGTGTGTTAGTGAGAAGTTATGTTGTAATTGGAGCAGCTGGTACCTGAACCAGTGCCTGTATGGGATGCTGGTATCCCAGGCAGCAGCTAAATCCACTATACCAAGACATGGGCTCCTAATGAATGCATTTAGATGTTACTAGGGCTTTATTTATTATTTTAAAATATTTATTTATTTATTTATTTATTTAAAGGAGGAGAGGGAGAGGGGTGGGGGAGGGAGAGAGAGAGAGAAAGAGAGAGAGAGAGAAAGAATATATCTTCCATCCACTGGTTCATTTCCCTGATGGCTACAATGGCTGGGGCTGGGCCAAACCAACACCAGGAATCTGTAACCCACTTTAAGTCTTCCACATGGTTGGCAGTGGTGCAAACACTTGGACCATCTTCCATGCTTTCCCAGGCACATTAGCAGGAAGCTGGAATGGAAGTGGAGTAGCTGGGACTCGAACTGGCACTCCAATATCCCAGCTACTCCATTATGGGATGTGAGCCTCATGATGTCAGCTCCATTACTGAGGTTTTGGGAAGAGGAAGAAATTTTTATAGCTGATACATTATGAGCTCCAGGATTCATGATGAAAACTTGAGAAGAGAGAAACAGATCAGATCACTACAGGGATGTGTTAATGAAAAATCAGGGGAGTTTGGTTTCTGGCAGTATCCGAATGAATAAGGCAGTGAAGTGAGAGTCCTACAGATGTCTTAGCTCCAGGTAGTTGAATTTATTTATTCATTCAGCATATACAGGTGGCCCTGACTGATCATGGTCCAACTGTGATTTTCAGCTTTACTATGGCCTGGCAGTGATACGTGTCAGTGGAAACCATCCTTAGAATTTTGAATTTGGATCTGCATGCAGCAGAAGCACAGCTCCCAGTCAGCCTGGCTCTTGCTAGGGAGACAGCCAACACTCTACAGTGCACAGTGTGGCTAAGCTAGGGTGTTGTGTGGCTTGGGTGGATTTCATGCATTTTTGGTTTCTTTTCAATTTCTAGTGAGATTATCAGAACAACTCCATCATAAATTGAGAAACATCTATGACATGGCTGAGTGGTTTAGTGGCAGAAAGATGAAGTAGGTGCGTCCTTCTGGGGACTGCTCTCCTGAACACCGGGGATTTGAGTGGCTCCAAAAGCTCCTCCCTGTGTTCTAGAGTCAGAGCAGTGCCATGGGCTGGGGCCCGGGGGGGGGGGGTGGTGGTGTTGAGAGGATGAGAATGCTAGGATGTTGATGCAAATAGAAAGCTTGATGGGCAGAAGAAAAGACAAGAATCCTCAAATGAAACAAGGAGCCAGGAACTGCATCTGGGTCTCCCAGGTTGATGGTAGGGACTCAAGCACTTGGGCCATCTTCTGCTGCTTTCCCAGGCACATTAGTGGGGAGCTGGATCAGAAGTAGAGCAGCTGGAACTTGAACTAGAGCACCGATATGGTATACCAGCATCACAGGTGGGCAGCTTAACCTGCTACCCCACAGTGCTGGCCCCCTGACATCCAATTTCTTGTTTACAGCATTGCACATTGGAAGTCAGTAGGGCAACAGTTCCCAGACTCTGAAGGAATAAAAATCAGTACAACAACCAAGGACACCCATCAGTTGTAAACGAGGGCAGGCATGCCCACCCAATATTTGGCTTGGGCTGGCATAATATAAAATCTATTTGGTTTTTGTCCTTGGTTCCTGTGCTAAAACTCCCCAAACCCTAGAGCTTTCTGTGTGGTGTAGGGTATCTTTTGTTATAGTAAACT